TCTAGGGCTCCTTAACCTACAAATAACTTTATTACGTAGTGAATAAAAGTGCTTTTTTTCTTCTTAATTATGAAAAAATATAAACGAAATTTTTCATTCTATTTATTGTATATCAGCATAGTTCTACGTTGTCCATATTCATTGAAGTGTTATTCTGAAATTCCTTTTTAATCTTGTTATTTTCTCAAATGAATATTATGAATTTATGTTGGTGGAGTTTTGTTCTCTAAGCTGGATGGTTCTTCTAAACGATGAAAAATCCACGACCAAACCATCCAGCTTAAGGAACAAAACTCCATCGAAATCATCCACCTGAGCTACAAATCTTCGCCACCATTATGAATTCATAAACGGAGTTGAGTTCAGTGTTTGAGTCCAACATTTAATCGTATATTAAGTTAAAGTTCAAAGTAATAAAAACATAATCAATTTTGGTTTAAGAAGGATACTTTAGTCTTTGAGGTTTGTGATTGTTTATATGTACTGATGTGTACCGAATAAGCTGTTGTTTGAATACAGGGTTGAATATATGTAAGATGATATAGATGGAAGAACGTAGGATTTTACAAGTCAGTTAAAGAATTAAGATCACAAGTATTCCATGATTCTACTTAACAAATTTATTCTTTGTTTGATCTATTAAAAAAACTTTGTATCTTCCTTCTTTACTTACTTACGCCTATTACTCCCAATGGAGCATAGGCCGACGACCAGCATTCTCCAACCCACTCTGTCCTGGGCCTTCCTTTCTAGTTTTATCCAACTGTTGTTCATTCTTCTCATGTCCAGGTCCTTTGGCCTTGAGGATTCCATGTGAAGTCTTGTTTTGTGACGCAGTTGGGTGCTTTCCTCAATGTGTGTCCTATCTACTTCCAGCGCTTCTTTCTGATTTCTTTCTCCACTGGTGTCTGACTTGTTCTCTCCCACAGTAGGTTGTTGCTAATAGTGTCTGGCTAACGGATCCGAAGTATTTCGCGTAAGCAGCTGTCAATAAGCACTTGTATCTTCTGTATGATGGCTTTCATAGTTCTCCAAGTTTCCGCCCTATACAGTAGGACTGTCTTGACATTTTTATTGAAAATTCTGACTTTGGTGTTGGTTGACAGACAGTTGTTTTGAGTTTTAGATGTTTTTCACTTGTACATATGCTGCTCTTGCTTTACCGATCTACGCCTTCACGTCTGTATCAGATCCACCGTGTTGATAAATGATGCTTCCCAGATATGTAAAGGTTTTTTCATCCTCCAAAGCTTCTCGGTCGTGTGTAATTTGATTGGTGCATGTTGTGTTGTATCGGATAATCTTGTTTTTCCCTTGGTGTATGTTGAGACCTACTGCTGCTGAGGCTGTTGCTACACTGATCATCTTCTCCTGCATTTGTTGTTGAGTGTGCGATAAAAGAGCCAGATCATCTGCGAAGTCCAGCGATCGTCCAGCTGCGTTCTAGCTGTCCACCGTATCCCAAAACGCTAACCAGAAAAAAATTATTTATTGTATCTATTAAACATTTTGTTCAGAATAGCTTCTTTTACGGAAGAATCCCGGTATTAAGGGAATCTATTAAATGACTACTGTATTTGACAAATGTTCTACCTCGATTATTTATATTAAATAGCACTGGGATTTAATTCATTTTTTGATTTATATTACTGACATAAGTAGTATCTATCATTCGATAATGGAAACGCCTTACTTTTCTATTAATGATTTAACTTTATTTTATGATTTACATGTTTATTCATTCATATTGAAATGTAAAACATCATGTTTGAAGTATCATTTAAAAATCAAACTGTATAATAGTAATTTGTTGACATTCGTTTTAGTGTATTGATAACGTTGAACTAAAGCTGAGATGCTCATTTATTGAATGATTTTAACTGTTTTTAATTGTACTTCAGTCAGTCAGTCAGCTACAACGTAGGACCAGGCACATATGTGCATCGGTCCAGGTACTTAGTATAGAGCTGTTATATATTCAACTTTTCAATACTTCATTTATTTTTGATGATTTCCTCTCGTTTTCATTTTGCTGAAACTTGTAATTATTAGTCAATGGTTATTATTTCTAATTTTGTTGGATGTTTTTTTATTTGAATTGAATTTTTAGAAAATACACCAATTTGTACTTACACATTCTAATTCTACTGAGAGCATTAGTCCACTTCAAAAAGCAAATCGATTTGGCTACTATAGTGATCAAATTACAATTCAATTAGTGGCAAATCGATTGATGAAGTGGTGGAACTTCATCAGTTGAGACGGCTGGGACACGTGTTACGTATGCCCAACAACCGACTGGCTCGACGTGCGATGTTCAGTGGTATAGGAGTAGGTTGGAAGAAAGCTAGGGGCGGCCAGACCAAAACATGGCACTAGTCCATGAAGTCACTGACAAGTAGACTGAGTCATGTTGGTAGGTGTAGACTACCTGGTTGGGGACTGTGAGATGATAGCAACCGATGGTTAGAGACGTTGAATGACATGGCTCAAAATCGTTTGCAATGGCGCAGGTGCATCCGCTCTTTGTGTTCTCCTAAATCATAATCTTCTGAATTCTGCATATCCCTTTTTCCTCTTTCCAAATTTATTTCACTGGATTATACTCTTTAAATAACATCTCCAAACCCTAATGTTTCCGATTACTGCTTATACTCTTATTACCTCTATCACTACGGGATTTGAATCGACCACTGCATCTTTGTGCTAATGTGGTATGGCGACTCGAACTGATGTACGTACGTACGAAGTTCTGCGTTGTTACTGACTGACAGTTAGTGTTTAGAACTAAGGAAGCATGACATAAGTTATTACTTAGTGATCAAATTCTTTATAAGTCCTTCGGTTGTAGAAGTTTCATGGGGATTATCTTAGTCTGTGAGGCGTATTTGTCACAGGCTGATCTCAATCAGGGTACCATTGGAATTCGGGGTATATTGAACAGTTGTTGTCACCCTGGCATTAAGCACTCACGATTCCTCCAGGAATTGAACCTAGAAATACCAAGTCTATCAGGAAATGCATAGCTCTGAATATCACTAAATGGACGTTTTCACGGTTTTGTACTCCGGAGAAGTTTCATACTGGGACGTAAAAGCAGTCCAGTGGTTCCTGATCTTTACTGGTACTCCAACTGAGATTATTCTGTGAAATAAATGCATGCATTCATAATTCTAGTGCATAATGTCTCTCATTTTAGTTCATCTTTCATGTTGCCTGATAGCAGTTAGTAAATCGAGGTCACATAGTTAAGATAATTAATTTGTTATCTTATTAATAAATGTCAGATTAACTTATAGCAACAATCCAGTTACTTTTCAAAAATGTCAAAATAGTTTATTCCTTTTTTGGTTTATCCATTGGATGGTTATATCAGAAAAAAATAGTTACTTTCAATTTTTGTCTAATCTAAACTTTTGGTCAGTTTTTATGCAACAGCATTGTTTATTGTACACAGATTGCTAAATAATACTTACGATTGTCTAGTAATATACGTTTATTTTTACAATATGGGGTTGTTAAGATTGTTGGATTTTATTGAGATCCCTAACTGACCAAAAATATACAATCATTGAGAACTGGAAGCACTAGATACCCGTTTCTTTCTAGTACAGGACACCTCAGCAGTGCACATACATTACCTCGTACATAGTAATGTAACACAGGACATTCGATCTCGCATGTAAATACTTAATATCTAGACTTTTGAACCTCGATCCATTGTTGTGATAATTTGACTTCAATCAACCCATGATGTCAGACAACAATTTTCGATTGTCTCGGGTAGTTATCATTATTCAACCTGATACAGTTTAGCTTTACTTGTCACAGTTTCTGACTATAACTCCTTAAATTCCTTCTCGAAGTTAGCCACTAGTAAGCACATGACCGATTTGTGGTTTTATTGAAATTCAACAATCTCTACAACCATGTACTAGCTGTTTAAAAGTTATATTATCATATTGTTTAAAATATATTCGTTACTTAATCTAGTATGTAAATTAACAGGTTAGCAAAACTGTAGAATTGACATGACAAGTTTAGTTCATCCTTGAATTGGAGTTGTGTTGTGAAGTTGAAACTTTCTTTTTGATAACCATTTGAAGTCATCATTGAAGAGCTTAGTTGACATGGCTTAGCATTGGTTTCTTATCTTCTTTTAAATCTTTATTTACTATATTTCCACTACTATCGATAATATTATTCTGAGTGTTTTCGTTTATATTATTGAAATATTTTGTGGGTGCACATTTTTTAAACTTAAATCCTATGATCTTGGTAACTAACTGTTAATTGTTAGTTGACCATTTATATTTGAAAGAGATGACAATTTCAGAAGTCTATTGGCTTTTGAAGTAATACATCTTAGTGTATAAATATGAGATAAAATCGATTTATTCATTTGTATCTCTTAAAACCGTCATAGTGTTACGCTAGGTTACTATTGAGAGAGAAAAAAATGTTATGAAAGAAGGTTCTGAATTTCATGTATAATTTAAATCCTTGTTCTGTGCATAGAATCATATACTTACCTTCGAGTCACAGGGTTATTAGTACGAAAAATACGCTGAAACAAATGAAGATGTAGTGGTATTTACAAATTGTTTATTCAGTGACTAGATTTACATTTGTATAGTTTATTTTGAATCCTTATTACTTTCGATCATCATGTTACATTTAGTTGTTACAATTGTATCACACATCTCAACTAAAGAAAAATTTGATTATCCGCTATCCAATAGTTACATCTGACAGTTAGTGACTCCATGAATTAACGCTGCTATTATTATTATTATTATTATTATTATTATTATTATTATTATTATTATTATTATTATTATTATTAAGTTAGGTTGAGATCTTCTAATCATTTGTCAATCTATTGTCTTTTGTTTTGTTATACTGATGATTAAAACTAGGGTTGTACACTGTTATTGTATTAATATTGTTTTTCTTATCGCTATATTTATTTAACTTATTCTGTTCATTCTATTTAACAGATACCAAAAATATTTGATTTATTTGGTAAAAATGGTGGAGCCTCTTCATGTAAGTCAATATTTATTTCATCTTTTGTCTTATTGATTGTCATACTATAAACATTAAAATGCTTTTTTTTGAAGAAATCTAAGGGTTACACTTCTACTTCTACTCGAAGTTTGTGCTGATGATGTCGTTCAGAAGAACGATGAAGGCTACACGACCAAACCATCCAGCTCATAGGATAAAACTCCATCAAAAAGAACCCTATTAACTAATGTACCAATAATTTCGAATGATTCTTGACAAATTCTAGACAATTTTAATAGTTGAGATTATGAGTCAATTGAAACTAGACCATCATGGAAAACTTGCAAGGACTAGACATCCGCTTCGTCCCATTGTGGGACTCCTCAGCATTGCGTATCCACAATCCCGCCTCGCCAGATTTCAACTCAAGACCTATCAGTCTTTTGAGTGAACGTTTAATCACTAAACCAATGAGCCGGCCGGCATTCAACAGTGTAAATGTCTAACTTCAACTAATCCACGAAATTGAGCCACACATCCACCATTGTCATCAGTGAGTTACTATCTCACTACAGACCTAGTTGAACTTCACTGGTCACTGCTTCTCACTAGAATAGCAGGAAATACCTGTTGAAGTCAGTTACTAGTGAGCATATGTTGATTAATATCAGAAGGGGTTTGTTATAGACATATTCAACATAGCACAACTCGATATGTTGGGTGAAAAACAAGCAAATATAAAAGTCAGGTCTAGTAATGAAATCTTTGATTAAAATCACACGTCAATATATACGGATAAAACGTACTGGAAAATGTTGGCTACAACATACTTAGTGAATATTAAAGATTCTGTAGATAGATCTTAGCTGAGTCTGTACTATAGCAGTGTAAAAATCTAAATAAAAAGAAAAGAAAAGAAGTCTCTCTTCATCATATTAAATAAGTAAAGTTCAAATAAATATTTGGAAGGAGTTAGACATAAACATCGTTGAATGCCAGTTGAATGTGGTCTAGAAGTTAAGCGCTCACACGCAAGACTATTAGGTCCTGATTTCGAATCTCACGAAGCGAGATCGTAGATGAGTACTACTGAGAAGTTCCACAATAAGACGAAACATCCATCCATTGCTTCCATGTTTTCCATGATGGTTGGAGGTATCAAAAAACAACGCTCAACTTATTCACCTCTATTTATAATTTACATTTATTCCATAATAAAGATCACTTTTACTGATGTTTCTATTAAATAAAATGTCGATCATGAATAATACTGATTAGTAAAAAAATTAAATCAAATTCAATATAATCTAATTTCATTCATTCATTCATTATCTTATCTGACCTAAAAGAGATAGGCATCTCTCTCATCAACATCAATAAGTTCAATACTAATAATAATAATAATAATCATCATCATAATGAAATGATTGAAACCCCTTGGAAATATCAAAATTTTCTCTAAATCTATTTTTATTTACCTTTTCACCTTAGAATTATTTTGTTACAATGTATATTACATAATACTATTTGTTGTTCTATCATTCTATCTCTTAACATGTTTTATTGTCTTGATATTATGTGATTAATTTTGTATCGCTTAATTTGCCAATTTTCATTCATAAATAAAAGGGTACATCATTTAATGTAATGCACACACACACACATAGATGGGCATGTGTTGTGTATATGTGTGTGTGTGTGTGGGTACGTTGTGTATTCATTGTGAATATACATAGGTGAATTAATGTGAAAACAATGATGGAACAATTCTTTTACATATCTCATTTTGTACAACAATAAACTTCATATATGTGTATTAGTATTATTATTACTATTACTAATAATACATTGATTGTTAGCGAGGATCCCCTATGCCAGTATGAATCTAATTAATGCATTATAAAACTTATAATAGATAAATATAATTACAAGTATAGTAATATATATATACAACCGGTAATATTCCGACTTATCGATTATTGAGTAATAACCATTGCTATATGTGTCTAGTCATAAGGTCCTTATGGATTGAATTATCAGGTTAAATAAAGATGACATGAGATTGTTTTAATATTAGATGATAGTTGAAGGTGGTTAGTAAAAGAATATCTCTAAGTAACATTTATGTTCGTTGAAATCTATCAAAGAAATTGATACATATGATTTTATCAGTTAAGTTTGGCATTATCATTATTACTAGTGTTATATATAGAAATATCTTCAACAAAAAATGTTCGATCAAGTTTATACATTGAATAAAATAGAAATCAAATATCTATGACTAAAAACCACTGATCATTCATTGATGTATTAAGGTATATTCATACAATTGATCACAACATTTACATGTTAGTTCATTGAAGGTAATCAACAAGAAACCGTAGATCTAGGTTACGTGATAGTTGACCCTGATTAACTAGGCAGATGTAACTGTAATCTTGAGGGAACTGATGGATCTTGTAGAATTCAGACTCACATCATCTATTCTCACATTCTATAACATTATTACAGAGCTATTCAGGTCACAGCTGATATCCTGTACAACTGGGACATTTACATTGATTTATCACGAACTATTAACACTAAGGACTAAACAAGCATGATATTCATCACTATCTCATTATCATTTAACATAAATAATTAACTGTTTCATAAATCAACCCATTTAATGCCGCTTTAGTTTGAACAGTCATATATTAAGAGTAGGTCTTACCTAAAAGATCTGATTGGAAGCCAACTACCTGAATAAATAATTTCTCATTACAACAAAACCAAGATTTCAATGGTTAAGATCATCAGTCAGTTGAAGCTAGACCACGATGTAAAACCTGGAAGCACTGGACGGCCGTTTCGTTCTATTGCGGGACTCCTCAGCAGTGCACATCCACGATCCCGCCTTGCGAGATTCGAACCCAGGACCTATCAGTCTCGTGCACGTGCACTTAACCTATAGACCACTGAGCTGGCCGGCAACCAATGGTGTTAATGTCTAACTTCAACTAATCCACGAAATTGAGCTACACATCCATCATTGTCATCAGTGAGTTACTATTTCACAACAGACCCAGTTGAATCCCACTGGTCACTGCTTCTCATTAGAATTCCAGGATATACCTTTTGAAGCCAGTCACTAGTGAGCATATGTTGATTAATATCAGAAGGGGTTCTGTGGATATTATAGTAATTTCAATGGATAAACAAACTGAACTCTCACACACACATACACACAAATACAAATATCATACAGATTTATAAAAGTTTTGTTTGTTTGTTTTTTTCCACCATCAAAAGTTAGACATTAACACCGTTGAATGCCGGATCATTGGTTTAGTGGTTAGGTGCTCGCGCGTGAAACCATTAGGTCTTAGGTTCGAGTCTCGCGGGGGGCGAGGTCGTGGATTTGCACTGCTGAGAAGCCCCACAATAGGACGAAACGACCGTCCAGTGCTTCCAGGTTTTCCATGGTGGTCTAGCTTCAACTGACTGATGATCTTAACCATTGAAAACTAAGATTGTCGTACAACTTTTATTACAGACAAATTTACACACACACGCACACAAAATAAATAAATAAACATGCTTTCTTTCTATTTCATAATATGACTTTAATTTATAAGTCGTCTATGGGTTAAGTTTTAAATCTAAGCAATTTTATGAAGACTAAAAATAAACTTTTCAATGTCTGAATTAAATAAAACTTAGTTTAACAACATTCAATTGAAACTTGATCTATTCTATTTCATCATTGTATATTGAATAACATCTAAGAAGTGATGAGATTATAATTTATGAACGACCTTTGAATGACGCCTAAATGATCTTGAAAGTATACACCTAATAACTAAGATCAAATAAAAGTTATAAACCTGTGTGAAGAATTAAAATTATGATTTACAGTTGATGATTAAATTTGGAAATTAGGTTTAATGCCAAAACGCTATTTAACCAAATAAATGAGTGATTTTCGCACCAAAATCCATGACCTCTTATCTTATACCTGATTGGTTCGTCCATAAATTGTAGTGTCGCTCGAAAAATGATATGCACCAAAACCATTCGTTTTTCTTCTTCTTCTTCTTCTTCTTCTTCTTCTTCTTCGTATTATTATTATTATTCTATGTACAATTTATATCTTCTTCCTTTTAGAGCATATCAAATCACCTTTAATTCTATATTGAAAGAGAACTAATAATAATAATAATAATAGTAATGCATATTTACAAATATTGCATTAAAAAAAATGTAATAATATAAAGAAAAAAAGAGAAAAGAAAAAAAAGAAAAGAAAAAGGAACAAACTGTTATTCACTTATTGAATTACTAAGGAAAAATTTCTTATATTAGAATTATTTGTCATATCATAATACAATGATATTAATAATAGTAGTAGTAGTGATAATAATAATATAAGTAGTAATAGATTTTCTCTGTTTAGTTTAACATTGTCAGCGGCTAGGCATTAATCAAATACAAATAAATTTCCTTATCATTGGACATTGTTCATTCTGTCTTTAAGTCAGTTTAATAAATGTTGGGCGGTATATTCATATCTAGTCAAATATATATTTCGCCATATATATATATATATAAAGTGCTTGTAGCTATATGAGTGTTGCAGAACAAAACAATGAATAATCTTAGCGATTGCTTAGATGATTAAGTGTATCATATAATGTCTAAACAAAAGAATGAGAGCGAAATAGAACAGCAAGGTGTTAATTGTTTCTTTTTATTGTTTTTGTTGTTGTTTAAGTTTCTTTTTCTTCCTTTATACTGTTTATCTCTAATGTATAATTTCTGTAAAATAGAAATTCTACTAATTTGACATTAACTATAGTACTACTATTACTACTACTTACAAGTAGTACACATTAAAGTAATGTTTTCTTTCTTTCTTAAAATAGAAAAAGAAAAAAAAGAACAATTAATTAAATAATTAATTAACTATCTATTATTATATTACAATAAGATGTTTAATGATAACTTTAAATTATTTCTCAAATTGATATTCATTATTAATATCCAGTCATTGAAGAACTTTGACTTCTTCTTCTATAAGTAAATGAATAATCACTATGTTGTATTGATGGGATTTTAAATTTAGGGAAAAAAAAATTTTCCTTCTTTTTAATGTCATAGTTAAACATGTTGTTCCCTCATTGAAATTGTAAAATCTAATTGGAATTTTATAGTGTAAAAACAAAACAAACAAACAAACATCAGAATAGAATAGGAAATATGCAAATGAACTTGAGAGGGTACATAAAGTAGTTCAAGTATATATATATATATTGTGGGACTCCTCAGCAGTTCGTATCCACGATCCCGTTTCACCAGATTCCAACCCAGAACCTATCGGTCTCGTGCGTGAACATTTAACCTCTAGACCACCGATCCAGCCGGTATCCAATGGTGTTAATGTCTAACTTCAACTAATCCACGAAATTGAGCCACCTTACACCATTGTCTTTAGTGTTTGCAGGTTTTCCATAGTGATCTAGCTTCAATTGACTCATATGCTCAACTATTAAAATTATTATAATATCCACAAAAACCCCTGATATATATATATATATATTAGAATATTCTGGAACATTGATAGTAGTAAATGAGCAAAAGGAGACGGAGTAGAAATAAGTGACTATGTAATTTTTTAAAAAAAAACGCTTAACACATGCCTTCTTCTTATAATATTCATAAGTTGGTTGTACAGTGTATATATCGACATGGTTTATGAATATCTGACTACTGTCAATGTTATTTCCTTAGGATTTCATTAGTAGTTCGTATTAATATTGTAAAATAATTGTTAGTTATAATGTAATGATAATAAATACCAGTTGGGAAGAGTATTCTTAACAAACAAGAGAACATGGGACTACAGATACACAAAAAGTCAGAATGATCAGTAAACATCAGTAAAAACATTCAAGCGGTTAAATTAACCAAGATATTTTCGAGTTATCGAGCTTTTTCTACCATTCAAAGTATCTTATTATCTCACTTGGTATTGTTTTACTTGAATCTTCCCATTGATGTTTTTGGACTGAAATTGATCAGTCTCTTATTGGCATATGTGCATACTGTGTGTATGCCTCGATATTGCCTTAATTTACAAGTATTATAAGCAAAGATGGATAGTGGCTAGCAATATCAAGTGAATTAAACTTCAACCTATTGCACAAGCAAGTGGCTATCAAGACTCAGTAGCTAAGTGGATAACGCGATGGCGTTTGAAGCGAACGGTACTGGGTTCGAGTCCCAGGGTGAACATCAACTCTGAGATGCAGGTACATCCGGCTGACGAGTCCCGAACAGGACGAAACGCGCGTCCTGGATTCCACTGCTAGCCACTATCCATCTTTGCTTATCTTATTATCTGTTTCAACTGTTTTGTGTATATTCCATTCAGGAAGTTATATATATCCTAAATACATGGCTTGTATTACTTAAGTACTAAATTATATAGATATTTGTATGAGAACTTTTAACTTTTATTCTTAATCTACTTTAACTCATAGTTTAGCTGTCGTGTATTTAAATGTTTAAACTATCCTATGATGGAGCCATGCTTCAGTTGTAAAGGTGTTTGTCTTTTAGCCATTAAATCTCAGGTACAAATCTTGCTCTACCTACCTCAATTTGAGAAACGAGATAGTATCATTAGCCCTTTCATTCATAGTGTTGCTCATATCCGCGTACTTGGTGAATGAGTTAAGTTAGTTTTTAATTCACCTTAATCAGTGGGTTTCTTCAACTTCACAAAATAACTTGTAGTTTATCACTTATTTTTTTAAAAAATATTCACTTCTGTACAGTAATCATTTATTTGAAGAAAAGAAAATAACGTTTTAACATGTTCTTTCTGTCCATGGTTAGAGATGTCACATTATTGTGCCTTCAATTCTCATCAATACTATTTTCATTTTTCTTATTAAAAGAACGAAAATGCATCTCTTTTTTCTTTAGTATTCAAAATGCCATTTCCAACTGATCCTCGTTTGGCCAGTTATTTTCTACCTGGTTATCCTGCTGCAATCGCGGCTGCTATGGCAGCTGTAAATGCTGCCTCTTATTCATTATCATCTTCACCATGTTTAACAACATGTTCATCATCAACATCATCTTCGTTACCATCCATGACTAAACCAACTTCCTCAATATGGAATATGAATCCTGCTGCTGTTGTCGCGGCTGCTGCTGCTGCGGGAACAGCATCTTCTTTCTGGTCAACTGGTTGCAGTGGCAGTGGTGGTTCATCCTCTACTTCTTCTGGTTATGCAAGTTCTGAAGGTAGTGGAGGCAGTAATGGTACTAATGGTTCAAATTGGTTGCATCATTCAGCAATATCACCAGGTAGTAGTAGTAGTATAGGTGGGAGTGGCGGTAGTGGAGGTGGAAGCTATGGCAGTGGTTTCAGTTTCTTACAATATCCTTATCCTCGTCAGCATAATTTATTTAATCAGAAACATTATCTACGAACATCAAATGATGACGATTTAATTTCATGTATAAGAAGAGAATCACCAAGTTTTGATCGATCAGTATATTTTTCAAATAACAATATTAATAATAATAACACTAATTTTTCATATGCAGAAAATCATCCTATTGACTACAATTTATCTTGTCAAATTTCGAGATTTTCTAATTTATACAATGATCCTGTCAAGAATTCAGCAAGTTTGGTAAGTATGCTTATATATATATATATATATCTTTTTGTTTACTAGTTTTTCTCTTGGTTTTGTGTTGTTGGTGTCTTCTTTTTTTCGGGGGAGGGGGAAAGGTTTCTGACAGTATATAAATAAGGTGGAGAGAAAGAAAATTAAACAAAAAGAATTTTTTTTAAACAATTTCAATGAGTTGTTTTCTCTTTTTTAACAATGATGATTTGTTTATTTGGTGTTGTTTTACTTGTATCTTCCCATTGTTATTTAGGACTGTAATTGATCAGTCTCATGTTGGCATATGTGCATCTTGTGAGGATTGCCTCGATATAGCCTTAAGTCACAAGCTTTTTAAACAAAGATAGATATTGGCTAGCAGTGGAATTCAGTTTGACGCACGTTTCATCCTATTTGGGACTCATCAGCTGGATGTACTTGCATTCAAGAGTTGCTTAAAATGCTTGTAACTTAAGGCTATATCGGGGCAATCCGCACAGGATGCACATATGCCAATAAGAGACTGGTCAATTGCAGTCCTAAATAACAATAGGAAAATACAAGTAAAACAGCATCAAGTGAATTTAAACTTTACCCCATTGCACAAGCAGGCTATCAGGACTCAGTAGCTAAGTAGATAACGCGATGGTATTTAAAGCGAACGGTACTGAGTTCGAGTCCTAGAGTGGACATCAACTCTGCAATGCATGTACATCCATCTGATGAGTTCTAAATAGGACTAAACGCTTGTCCTGTATTCCACTGCTAACCACTATCCATCTTTGCTTAAAGCAATCATTCGTATTACTTTTCAGTTATTTTGTTTATATTGTCTTTTTTATATTGTACACTGTATGTGTTTGTTTTTATTTATTTATCCAGATGACTAACTTGTTACAAACTACTATCTTTTTTTCTTTGGCATTATTCTCTGCTTCTTTTTCGTCTTGTTTAGGTTACTTTAATTTAGGTTATTTAGCCAAAATAAATGATACACAGTATTGTTTAGTATAGAACTTTATTAATGATGAATGAATGTAGTTTTAGAATGAATAAATTTTTTTAATTATTTTGTCATTGAAAGCGATAGAAAGGGATAAAGAATATTACATATAAGTTCATGTGATTGTGATCACATTGACAAGTTGTCAAGACCACATTGTTTATTTAACCTTCTTTTTTGGGCGCTTTCATTGGTGTGGCCAACTAAGAATTGAAAACTGCTCTTATTCTCGTAACAACACTTAAGTGTCATACTATTGATAACGTTATTAGAATGATTCTACATTTAACATTGTTCTAAGTTGCTATGAAGTTCAATGAAACAAAAAAAAAATTTTTTCTGTAAAAGGAACTACTTCAAATCAGGTAGTATTACTAGCAATCGTTTTAGATTTGTCTGGAACCTGGTATACATTCCGTTTATCACTTTACAACTTTTCATATTACTCCACTTCTAATCGTACGCTTATAAGGCTGAATAATTAAAACTAAAAAATGTTCCATTGATGGCTTTTTCAGTAGTATAGGAATTACATATAAGATAAGTTGATAAATCTCATTACTCTTACCATGTCTATATAACTGCTCGTCTCGTGGCTAGATATGTTCTCAATTTGTCAACTTTATAAACATGAAATATTATCACAATTACCATTACTTATCATTTTCCCCATGTTCTAACACTCATTCATTCAACTGACAGAGAATTAAAAGATGAAAATTGTCAAATGTAAAGTTATCAGAAGGGGTTTGTGGAGATTTTAGAAATTTTCACAGATTGAAATCATGAGTCAATTGAAGCTAGACCACCATTGAAAACCTGGAAGCACTGGACGGCCGTTTCGTTCTAGTATGGGACTCCTCAGCAGTGCACATCCACGATCCCGCACCTCGCGGGATTCGAATCATCTGCTCACTAGTGACTGACTTCAAGAGATACTCCTGGAGTTCTAGTGGGAAGTCGTTACCAGTGGAGTACAACCAGGTCTGTTGTGAGATATCAGCTCACTGAAGACAATGGTATATGGTGGCGCAACTTCGTGGATTGGTTGAAGTTAGACATTAACACCGTCGGATGCCGGCTCAGTGGTCTAATGGTTAAGTGCTCGCGCGCGAAGCCAGTAGGTCCTGGGTTCGAATCCCGTGGGGTGCGGGATCGTGGGTGCGCACTGCCGAGGAGTCCCACAATGGGATGAAACGGCCATCCAGTGCTTCCAGGTTTTCAATGGTGGTCTAGCTTCAATTGACTCATGATTTCAATCTGTGGAAATGTAAAGTTAGTTTTCATCATAGATTGACATTAACCGACAGTACTATTAAAAACCTACAATCACTTTCTAACAGTGTACGTATTCAATTATTTCACATAAAAAAAATCCAAATCCGAAGTGTTATATTGATTGTGATATGTTTTAAGGCACTAAATAAGAACCTGGTATATTCACATATTACCAACTTTTATCCATTTATATTATATAACACGACTATCATTCACTAGATAAATAGAAAAGTTATCTTAGCATATATACAGAAATAGATGTTGTTTGGACGTGAAATTCCTAACATGAATTTCACCTTATTTAACATTCATTCATCAACTGAATATATCTGATTCCCAGAGATTGATTAAAATTTCAGTTCTAAACATCAAATAATACAATCTTAGAAGGAACCATTTAACTTATTTTGTACAATGATAACAAACTTGATACATCTTACATTGTCTATAAGTAAATAAGGAAAGTTATACGTATTATGTTATTTGCAAGTTTGTTTTATCCTAGAGAAAATGAAGATTATTTAAACCCAACAATTGCGGTGTAATAGAAGATGTTGTTGACATTTCATATTCCCATCTGAATGTAGTTTGTTCTTTGAATGAATATATAGACAGACTACTGAATGATGCTCTTTTTTTGTCTTCTCTCATCTATTTACCTCGTTACTCTTAATGATTGTCATAGTTGTTGTTCAGATTTCATGTTGACACCTGTTTGTTTGTTTTTCTTCTCTTCCTTTCATATCATGACATGATTAGGAAAATTGATGTAAATCATGTGAAGTACAAGTTCTTTCTTGTTGAATTCAATTATTCAGTCTGTTTTACCGTGTGAAGTATATTTAATGTTATATTATATCAAATATCATTACTATTATTAGTATTATCACTTTGTTTAATCCGACAATCACATAACCCTGTTAATAAACAATCATGGAGAAAAAGAGAATGTTAAAACGAAAAAACGGGTTGCATTACCACTAATAATAAAGTTTATAGATATCTCCAATATAGTCACAAAAAGTATCATTCAAGCAAACTCTTAGTATATATATAACAGAACTTGATCTCATCTAACCCTTCTTTCTTCTTCATTTTAACGATATTTATCGGCGTATTTCTTTTTTTTATTGTTCTATCCATATCTATGTGCAACAAGTTTAATCAATAAAAACCTCAAGATTATTTAACTCAATTCGAACTAACTACTATTTTACCACATGCAATTATATCATCATACATAGTCTCATGCTTTACACGCCCAATTGATTATCATTATTCTTCTTCTTATTATTATTACTGTTATTGCGCGAGCGCTCATTAATCTTATTATTCATAATTATTAAAGAATAATCTATACTATTCATTGTTTATAGGTGACTTTATACAATTGTATTGAGCATGTAAATACAATTGAGCGTTCTTTCTTCTTCTTCTTCTTCATCATCGTCTTTTGAATAGAAGGAGCAATGTCAACAATAGAGAATAATCGGGAAGAGTAAAAATAAATAAATAAATAATAATAACAATAATAATAATAATAATGATAATAATAATAACTACGGAATAGGAATAGTCACTTGTTCACTGTTCGCTCAAATTAAATGATACATGCGCACACATAAACTTGGCATTAGTGACCCCGCCTCTTTTTCCTCTTCTTCTTTTTATTTATTTCATAAATTTATATTATTTATTTATTATTGTTTGATTTCATTATTATTTCTTTGAATAAAATAACTTAGATTATAGTATTAAGCATAAGAATATGAATAGAAGTGAGAAATAGGGTATTCCGATATGTACATTTTGAATATAAAGCAATTCTTTCTTTTTTAAAGCATTAAACATTCACTATATTATTTCATTGTGTATTAATAAAATAAGACTGATCGGTTCTGAGTTCGAATCACGCGAGGCGGGATTGTGAATACACACTGATGAAGAGTCTCATTTTGGGATGAAACGGTTGTCCAGTGATTCCAAGCTTTTCATGATGGTCTAGATTCAATTGACTAATGATTTCAATGAATAAAATGTGCAATATTAATGGTACTTTGTTTTCGTCTTTGTTTTTTTTATAAATGTAAAATTAACCATCTTAGGAATTTGTTAAACTTGTATCGAATGAGTTGTTTAATATGATTCCTATGCAGATTAGATGGTTATACATTGGCTAGTTTAATATTGTGAGGTAATATACGCAGTAGGTGTTTATTTTTTATTTGAATTGATCTTATAATGTAGGGACTTTTAGGATATTTCATTGAAACCATGAAACGAACTAAGTTAGAAAATCATTGGAAACTTGAAAGCACTAGATGGCTATTCTGTTCTACCATGCGACTTCTAATCAGTGCGTATATACAATTCCGAATGCGGGAAATTATACCAAGGACCTTTGACCTCGTGCACAGACGCTAAGCCTCTAGACCAATAGGCCGGTATCTAACAGCATTAATGTCTGACTTTGACCAATCCACGACATTGATATTCTCTCAGTTGAAATGTAAGTGTTACTTACTGGTTGTCGTTTGTATTGTTATTCTAAGTAAAAGTCCGAGATATTGAATGTACAAAGAGTTCCATCCCTGCAGTTTCTGACATACATAAGCACAAGCACTCTTTCAGGGAAGGATGATGGTCACCTCTTCCTAATATTTGCTACTGTATCCTTGTATTATGTCTTCGACCTGTTTTGTAAGGCCGCTGGCTTTTTAGACATACGGCAGACACTCTT